CCCCAAAACCCCAAAACCCCAAAACCCCAATTTACACAAGTTTTATTGAAAATATGAAAAGATCTTAATTATGAGCTTACAATTCAAACGAATAGAAATAGATTTACATACCAGACAAGCTCGATATTCCAGCAGATTAAAGCATGAAAAATAAAACTATGGACATTTTTTGAAAATTTATGTATGCAAAGTGCATTTTAAGATGGAAATGCATGCAATATAGAATGCAAAAACATAAGATAATTTCCTTGCATTTTATTCTAACATTTACTATTTAAGTGCAGTGCTCAAAGCTTAAAGAAATGTAGAATATCAGACTAAGTATGTGCTAAAATAATTGCAGAATTTTTTATTATTCTCTAAAAAAACTAGCTTAGCTGAATCTCTTCAGTGTCAAAGAAAAACTTGGTCTTTGTGCTGCCTTTCTTCCACAATTTATTCTTTTCAAGTTTGGCTACAAGTCTGTGAGGGTCTGAAGCTTCCTGCTTGTATTCATTAAGAACCTTGTATTTGTCAACTTCTTCAGATATCAAATTGTTAGAAAATTCTTTAATTTTATCAGCTTGATCAATCTCAGCCTCTGCCTCTTTTTGACGAATATGTTGATTCAATAGAAGATATCTAAAAGGTCACAAAAGAGAGGGTACATATTTTCAATGACCATTGGATCTTTAACATCAACTTTCTTCGCAGTATTATACATAAAATCAAACATATGGTTCATCTCCTTAAAAGAATTAATCTTCTCATGTATCTTTACCGTATCTTTCTAAACCTTTCAACTAAAATTCTTACTTCTTCGTTAAGAATAAGGTTAGAGCAGTTGGTCACGATCTTGTTAAGCAACTGGAATTTAGTAGGGGGTCTATGGGAAGAGGGTGAGGGGATTTGGCAGAGGGAAGAATGGGGATTACGGGTTGAATGGGGTTAAGGAATTTCGGTTGGGAGGGGAGGGGGATTGGTGAGTGAGGGGTTTAGTGGGCTTTCTTCTTGGGCTAGAGGAGATTTGGGGGTTAATTACTTGGCTTTGGAGGTAGGCTTTAGGGATAGGGTTGTAGGGCTGTAGGGGTTTAGAGGGGGGTTACATGAGAGTGATGGTTTTGGAGGATGGTTGGGGAGATAGAGCAGTCACAGAGCGAGTAGTGTTTAGATTAATGTTATTTGCAATCCTTTCTTGTAGATTATGCCGTTGTTTAAGCTTGCTTTGTCTTCTTTCACGAGCTAATTTTCTGAACTCCCCAAAGCTATATGGAAGGTTATAAAATCATACCTTGTTACATTTTTCATTCCTTTTTGATTGTTTTGGAGGAGATACAACTTTTCATAAGCAGCAACAGGTTTTGAATCAATCTCTTCAAATAAATCTTTATTATTTTGCCCTCGAATATTCTGAAATTAGAGTAAATCCTTACAATTAAGAAATTACTTTGCTTGCTACGACTAAAGGTTCGAATAAAATCCGGTTTTCTGTCCTTATCAGGTCCTAGAGTACCTCTTACTATACCTACTGTTTCGCTTGGACTTCTCTAGCTTTTCAAAAAGCTGCCTTTTCTTATATTCATGAAAAGCCACTGGTTGTTGAGCTAACTTATCGATCTAGGAAATATATCTCTGCACATACCTCTTGGGAGTTGATCTCGTTCTTCTTCATAATTTTATTTCCAGATATCTTAAGGTCCTTATCATCTGTATCTTACCTTTATAATTCTTGCTGATTTTCTACAAATATGACTACCGGGAGAGTACCTTTTGCATCTTTAGTCACACACCTGCATTCTGATGAATTTTGGAGATCTTTTCTTGACGCAACTATAAAGGGTTCCAACCTAGGTACCTCTTTTTCCTTCTTCTTTTTGGCATCATCTTCTTTCAGGACCTTCTGCTTAATGCTTCTCTGCTCTTTCATGACTACCTAGGTAGCAAAGGGTTCAAAATTAGCCACAGCAGAGAGGTGGCTTACCTTGTTAAGGAACTCGATGGCGTCATTGTTAGGAGTCACCTTCTTCATACTCCTGGTTGACTATATTTTAGAGATATGGGCTACTTTTAATTTCTTTCGTCTCACTCCAGGGTTTGTCTTCAGCATAATCTTCTTGGTCTTCCTTCTTCTGTAATTTTAGGTGTAAATTCCTACATCTGTCTTTTGACTAATTCTCTGGTTATTCTTGTCCTTGGAGAATCTTGTAACGAATCGTGATCTAGGAGAATTTTCTAAGAAAAATACCAACGAGAGCTGCTTTCAGGTGATTCATGGAAGATCTTATTAACTGAAGATCTTCCATAGATTTCATCTGTGCTTGTCTTTGCATACGAAGATCGTCAGGTGAGTCAAGAGTTTCGCATTCTATTACCCTGATATACACTATATTCCAACTGTCAGATCCCGTTGATTTTGAGAGATTTTTGTTTAAGAATATTGACATAAATTGGGGCCTCATTAAGACCAGCCTGAACTGGTATAATTTGAAGTTTTAAAGTGAACATTTTTATATTTTCAGATTCTAATGAAATTTAAAGTATAATTAATTTTTAATAAAGGGAAGTGAGCTTAAAGCTTCAAGATTTATATGACAAACTTCTTACAGCCCTGTTTTGACTTATTCGACTGGCTTTGGTCAACTGATCTTGGTCGGGATGCCATTTTAAATATAAATTATTGTTTCAGCAACTTGAGATTTTTAGGGGTTTTGGGGTTTTGGGGTTTTGGGGTTTTGGGGTTTTGGGG